TTCAGCCTTAATTTTATGTTTTTGGTCCCAGTTCATATTAGTCTCATTTTCAGTTAAAATTCCAGGTCCAGTTCAGTTCAGTAAATTAATAGCAGTTCAGTTCAGTATTTAACTGGTTCCAGTTATACCGATTAAGTCCAAATATCATGTCGAGTCTAATAGAGCATCTTAACATAATTAATCAGTTAACTTATCAGTCTGAGCATAGTACTTAGTAATTGTTTATATTATATTTTCAGTTTGATCAGGCATCAGATATCAACACTGCCTTTTCATTTTCACGGATCAGGTGGGAACTCAGACTGGGTATTACATTGATTATGATTACGGTACCATGTTTGAAGTATGTATTATCAGTTCAGTATCCGCTCAAAATGGTCGTCGGTCCATTCTGGGTTCTAGTGGCCTTAATCTGCCCACTAGAGTGTGCACATGGTGTCCGGCTATGCCGGCAGATGTTCAGTTATCAGTCAGGTGATTTATATCACGAGATCAGTATCAGATTATTCAGTACCGGTATCAGATATCAGTTTCAGTTTCAGTTCAGTTATATATGCCAGGATCATGATATTGTTATTATTTTAATTGTTTACTTTAGTATGAGTTTCTGCGGAGCACAGTGTTTTAGTGCTCATGCCCCCACGTATTTCATGTTTTTCAGGTCGCAGAGTCGGAGCCGAGGAGTGAGTGGGCGACGGATTCAGGACATTTGTTTATATGTATATATTACGTTTTGGCTACGCTACATTTCCGCTACAGTTTTAGTACTTTAAATCAGCTTTTGACCTGACGTTAGTCGGTTAATATATTTATAACTGTTTTTATTATCAGATTAAAAAATAACGGTTTTCAGATAAAAGTCATATTTTACAGTAACACTCCGAATCAGTTTTCGCAAAATAAATATTTTATTTATTTATTTAGAAAATTTGCGAAAAAGCGTACTCTGAATTTCAGTAAATAGCGGGGTGTTACAATTGGTATCAAAGCAAGTTTCTGCAACTCTGAAATGTTTTTACGAGTCAGAAATTTTCAGAAAAACCTGAACTGTCACGCTCACGGCTTGCCGACTACAGGTAAGTGCTGATTTTGTTTTCAGTTATAAACATATTACTTTGTCTATGCTCAGAAATTTATTAATCATGACTTAGTTAAGATGCTCGAATCAGGTTCAGACCTTAGAAATCAGTATACTCAGGTATAACTCTAGATTTCCTCAGGATTCATGTCAGTAATTTTCCAGCCATATTTGGCAACTCGTCAAGAGATTTGTGTACTTTAGTAATCAGTTAAAGTATTTTTCATGTGTTCAATAATATTGAACTTCCTCAATGTTCAGATGCCGCCCCGTAGGGAACTTGATCACCCGGTTCTTCCTCAGGCCACAGTAGTCGCACAGTTTCGCGACTATCATGCTGAGAAATTCTCCAGGCAGGGAGATCCCCGTATCGTGGAAGAGTGGATTCAGGGCCTTGAGTTAATTTGGAGGTCATGGATTGTCCAGATAGATATTGTGTTATATGCACTCAGCTTCAGCTAACCGGCGATGCCCGACTCTGGTGGAATGCCTACTGGAGCATGCGTCCCGGCGAGAAAGAGGGTTGTACCTGGGATAGGCTCAAGGAGCTAATCCGCGAGAAGTACTACCCCACTTATTACCGAGCAGAGATGGAGCGTCAGTTCCTGTCGCTCCAGCAGGGTACTCGTTCTGTTGACGAGTACGAGAGGGAGTTTACCAGACTTGCAGCTTTTGTTCCGGACCTGGTTCGTACGGAAGCACAAAGGGCACAACGCTTCATTGACCGGCTTTACCCAGCAGTCCGTCACAACATTGTAGGTCACGGGACCCAGACCTATGCTCGTGCCGTTTCGATTGCCCAGGAGGTGGACGCCAGCATTCGGAGGGAGGCCAGCCGCGATCGTTCTCAGCCATCCGCCCCCGCCCAGTCATCCACAGCTCCACCAGCCCTACCAGCTGCCCAGCCGACGAGGGACAATAAGAGGAAGGGAAAGGGTGCCCAGACCGACAGGAGGACCCGACAGAGGCAGCAGCAGGTTCCACCATGCCCCACTTGCGGACGACTTCACCGATGCGAGTGTCGCATTGGCCAGGATATCTGTTACGACTGTTATGAGCCTGGACACTTTGCTAACCGTTGTCCGAGGAAGGCACAGCAGCCACCGCAGCAGCCTCAGCAGCCACAGCAGCAGCAACCCCGTCAGCAGGCACAGAGGCCACCCCAGCAGCAGCAGAGGGGCAGACAGCAGGCCCGAGTCTATGCAGTCGATCAGGCAGAGGCAGAGCAGCAGCCAGGTACCATGTCGGGGATGCTAATACTTAATGATGTTCCTGTTTTCGCTCTGTTCGATACTGGAGCGACACACTTTTATTTCACGATGATGTCTTGATGCCATCGGAGTTCATGCTAATACCGTTGTCGATCCTCTCGAGGTGAGTTTAGCCTCGGGACAAAACATAGTGACCACAGTTAAAGCTTCAGATCTCAGCCTTTCCATCGGTGGTCGTTCATTGTCTGCCGACGCGTATGTTCTCGAGATGAGGGATTTTGACCTCATTCTCGAAATGGATTGGCTATCCTATTATCATGCAGATATCCGATGTCATGACAGGGAGATTACTCTTTATCTTCCGGGAGACGATCTTATTACCTTCTTTGGCACCAAGAATCGTTTCTTACCTCATGTCGTTTCGATGGCAAAAGCTACCAAATTGCTGCGACGAGGCAACTGCCAGGTTATCTGGTGAGCCTTGTCGATGATTCTTAGAAAGCACGATCACCTCACGATGTTCCCGTTGTTCGTGTATTTGTGGACGTGTTCCCAGACGAGCCTCCAGGAGGACCGCCTAACCGGCAGGTGGAGTTCTCTATTGATCTCATTCCAGGAGTCGGCCCAGTATCCAAAGCCCCATATCGTATGGCGCCGAAGGAGTTGCAGGAGCTTAAGGCACAGTTTCAGGAGCTATTGCGACTCGGTTTCATTCGACCGAGCGTGTCACCTTGGGGAGCACCCGTTCTCTTTGTCAAGAAGAAGGACGGTTCCATGCGCATGTGTATCGACTACCGGGATCTTAACCGGTTGACGATCAAGAACAAGTATCCGCTTCCTAGGATCGATGACTTATTTGATTAGCTGAGGGGAGCCTGTGTGTTCTCAAAGATTGACTTGCGATCAGGCTACCACCAGTTGAAAATCAAGGAGTCAGATATTGCCAAGACCGCTTTCCGGACTCGTTACGGCCATTACGAGTTCGTTGTCATGCCATTCGGCCTCAGTAATGCTCCAGCGGTTTTCATGGACCTGATGAACCGTATTTTCCATCCCTACCTCGATCATTTCGTTATTGTTTTCATTGACGATATTCTTATCTACTCAAAGAGCCAGAAGGAGAACGAGGAGCATCTGAGGGTTGTTTTCGAAACCCTCAGACGAGAAAAGTTAAATGCAAAATTCTCCAAATGCGAGTTCTGGCTACAGCGAGTAGCCTTTCTGGGTCATGTGATTACTCAGGCAGGTATCGAGGTAGATCCTTCCAAGGTCTCACCTATTCAGAACTGGTCGACACTGAAGAGTCCGTCTGAGGTTCGCAGTTTTCTCGGTCTAGCTGGCTATTATCGCAGGTTCATCGAGGGCTTTTCAAAGATTGCCCTCCAACAATTACATAATTTATCCTATGACCCACGCAGGAGCCGTACATGAGTTTCTATGAAAGCAATAAACTATGCGGTGTCCCACCGCGCGAGTAATAATAATTTATTACA